GAGCACCTTGGCACAGCAGAGCAGCTCTAGTGCCCCGGGGGTGCTTCAGCAGCGGGAACTGCCCCTGAGTGCGGTTACCAGGCCGTGGGGCTCGAGGCCTCGGAGCAGCAGAGCGCTCCATGCAGCCTCCTCCCGCTTCCAGGAGGTCATGCTGACCAGCGAGCGGCCCTTCTCCCGTGTGTCTGACGGCGATGTGGCGTTCTTCGAGCAGATAATGCCAGGCAGAGTCGTCACAAATGCGGAGGAATTGAAACCATTTAACGTGGACTGGCTTAAATCGGTCCGAGGTAAGTGAGCTTTCTTAAGTTTTTGATTTTGATTAAACCTCCGCTTTGCCTCTGCTACCGTTCTGGAATAAGAGCCGAAGAAAATCGTCTTTATTTATAGCAGCCATATCTTTACAGACCAAATTTCTCCTTTGAGAATTATCTAATATCTGATAATCTTTCAGGCTTTCATTAAAAAAAAAAAAAAACCCAAACAAAAAAAACTTAAGACCTATTAACTTACTGTTTTTCTTTTTGTTTTCCGTGAAACAAGTTGATTCAGTTAACAGTTTTGGCTGAGCTTCAGAAAACAAGTGTTGTGAAATTTTCAGTTGCTCTTGTCAAAGATTTCATAAGAATATAAAACCTTTCCCACTGCCTCCACTGGCATCCGAGTCTACATATACATGCAATGCTTTTGCAGTGCTTTAAGGGAAAGCCTGCTATTGAAAATGTTTGGTTTAAAAGTGGTTAAAATGCTTCTGCCTCACGGTGGAGGGATCGTGTTATTTCAGACGTCATGCTTTACCACCTTTTCTTTCTGACCTCTGTAGAACCCACAACTTGCCTTGAGAGTCCCTTGCTTTCATTGCAGGCTGTAGCAAGCTGATGTTGAAGCCACAGACAACAGCAGAGGTGTCTCAAGTTCTCAGGTAATATGCACCTTTCCTGCTGGGCTTTGTGTTGAGGAAGCTCAGGTGATGGATGGTATGTCAGGTGAAGGGGACTTCTGAATGTTGAGGCTCTAATTACCCAAGCATTGGAATTGCTGGAGCTGTTTTATTCTTGTAGTTGAGCTCTAATGACTCCAGCTCCCTCTTCTGCTCTTTATATCCCTGCTGCCCTTGAGCTGCCCACTGTTCCCTGATGTAGCTTTTGTTCTACCTGCTCCCAGGACTGGAGGCACTGCATGCTGTTGCTGG